AGAGAGAGAGAGAGAGAGAGAGAGAGAGAGAGAGAGAGAGAGAGAGAGAGAGATAGCGCAAGTATAGACCCGGAAGTTCTGAAAAAAGCAGCTGCGATTCCAAACCTGTCTACATTCAACTCGATCAGAAATTGAATGGACCGAGACAGATGTAAAATCATTTCCAATTCTGGTTCGTGATTTACTCGCGACGAGAATCGAAATGAGACGTCGGTTTGAATAACCGATCGGTTTGAATGATTATTGCATCTGCGCAACAGCAGCATCTGACGTGAACATGGGCCGGTCTCGTAGGAAATTAATTATCCTTGGATAAACCACTTGTCGGTGGTGTGGGATGGTTATGCTTGCGTTATACGTGCTTTGGTCTCGACTGTGCCTATACGGCTGTATGTGTGCATTTGCTTTCTCTGACTGTCGGTCTCTCTCTCGCTATCCCGTTTTCCCTTTCTATTATATATAAATAAATATATATATATATATATTATATATATATATATATATATTATTTCTTACAAACGCACGCACCCACATAATACATATAAATAGAAAGTATAATATAAAATATAAATATACATTGTAAATAGTTATGCAACTGAAGATTCTATAAAGATGAAAGCGCTTGTGTAAAACCAATTGTCGGATTATTCTATTTTTTAACTATAACTGAATATCGTGCAACCTATGAACTTTTCTCATATATATATATCAGGGGGGGTCCCTTTATCAGGGGGGGTCCCTATATCAGGGGGGGTCCATATATCAGGGGGGATCCCTTTATCTACTCCTGATATATATGGAGTATGCTAGTAACCGCTCGCAGGCCGAGAGCAGTAGCAGCCGCGCATACACGCGCCCTTTCATCCCCGCCGCCGCCTCTGATGGGGCGGAGCACGATTCGACACGCATAGCAATTAACAATTGATTACCATGCTGGTCATGTTTCTTGAGAACTTTCTCGGGGGGGGAGAGATTTTTTGAGGTCATTTATAATTGGCGTTAACGAGATAACGTCGATCTTTATTACCCTTTCTCACGGAATTAAAAGTGAGTTGAAAGTTGAATGATACGTGCATCTGAACGCTAGGAAGTGTACGATATTTTAAGCGGTAACATCATGTATTTTGCACGTGCGGTGATCGTGAAGGTATTCCGTCAGTGATCGCGCCGGTACTCCGAAGCGCAGGAAAACAATTTCGTTACGGGGGAATTGAAGGCATGTAGACGTGCATCATAGGTGAACTGACTGACGTAACCGATGGGGTGACTGCCCGCTAGTCCGAAGCCCACTAGTCCGAAAACCAAGAGGGTGACTGCCCACTAGTTCGAAGGCCCACTAGTCCGAAGGCCCACTAGTCCGAAGGCCCACTAGTCCCTCTCTCGCTATCCCGTTCTCCCTTTCTATTATATATAAATAAATAAATCCCCCCCCCCACACACACACACCTCCCCCTACAATGCCCCTATGAGTGTTTTCGACTAGTGAAACCTTCGGGGACAGTAGGGCCTTTGGACTAGTGAACCTGTCGACGAGTAAACCTTCGAACTTAGCGCCGGCCAGGTCACCCTCTTGGTATTTCGGACTAGTGGGCCTTCGGACTACGCGGCACGTCACCCTCTTGGTTTTCGGAACTAGTGGGCCTTGCGACGTAGCGGGCAATCAACCCCTAGCGTCAGATGACGCTCATCACTTTCCACTTTCAACCTTCACTTTTACTTCCGTGAGAGGAGGAATAAAGCATCGACGTTATCTCGCTTAACCGCAATTAGAAATGATCCTCCAAAATCTTTCCCCCGTGAAATGTCGTTTAAGAAACATGACCAGCATCGGTATCAATTGTTATTGCTCCATGCGGCTCCAATCAGTGCCTCCGCCCCCGCCCATCGAGATGGCGCGCGCGGGAGTGAAAGGGCGCGAGTATGCATGGCTAGCCTACTGCTGCTCGGCCCGCGAGCGGTCTACTAGCATCTACGTCCATATATATATATATAATATGATTGATATATATATATAATATATAATATATATAATATATATATATGAGAAAAGTTCAATAGGTTCCACGATATTCGTTATAGTAACAAAAATGAATAATCCGACAATTTGGAATTTTTACCAACGCTTTCATCTTTACGAACTGCAGGGCTGACATAAACTATTTACAATGTATATCTTATATTTTATATATATACTTTCATATTATATGTATTATGTGAAGTTTAACGTGCTTTGCGTGCTCCGTTTCGTTTGTACACGATAAGTCATTTGATATATATATATATATATAGAATAATATTTATAATATATATGTATTTATTTATTTAGTACTTATAATAGAAAGGCTGAGAACGGTCGAATCT